AACACAAAAAAAAAAGAGAAAAAGCAAAAAAAAAAAGCTTCAACATGAATTTTGAATCGACCAAAATGGAATATGGATTTTGATTTTTGTAATTAGTTTGTGGTAATCGATCCAAAAAAAAATTTACGCAGCACATGTCCATAAGAAAAAATCAAGTTTTAGTAATTGGTATATCTGATTTTTTTATTACAACGTGTTATTGAAAACCTTTTATGATGAATTTTAGAACGAGATATGTTTTATAAAATTAAAACAGTCAACTTACGTTAGTATCCAGTGAAAAAAATTAGACATTTGTCGAATTTATAACTACTGATAAAAAATTGATATGATTGTGAAATTTTCACAAGAACTACTTCCTTAGAATTCCATTTTGTAAGTTTTTCAATACATATCATTAAAAAAACATCATATACACGTAAGTATGTCGCCTACTTTTTTGCGTCGATCGATTGCTAATGAATCAATTATAAAATATATATAAATTATACTTCATTTTGTTTGTCTCAACTGTATGCACTTCAAAAGTTCGAAATCATTTTTTTAATTGAATTCAAAATTGGTGAGTAATCGAGTTTTTTTTTCAATTTTAGGTTTTAATATAAAGAGAGAGATGAATTATTAATTTCCCGTCCTTTTGAAATCTATTACTATATAATACAGTTAAGAAAAAAGTTTTGAAAAAATATATAAAATTAATTTCATTTTTCCACTCAAATGTTTAATTTTCCCCACAACTTTTATTTGAAATATTTGGCTAACGTTTTATATGGTAATAGATTTTATCATTCCACTTCCTTAATTTATGGGATTAGTTCCTTTTAGATTGGAATTTGCGGCTGATTTGTATCAATATGTGGCTATTATTTTTTTTCCCTAAAAATGTGATATTGGTTCAATTCAATTTGGAAATTGCGGCTGTAATGTGTATGTTTAAATTTAATATATCATTTTCTTTTATCAAAAAAATTATTTTTTCCTTAAAAATGTGGTAATGGTTCAATTCAATTTTGAAAATGAGTCTGATTTATTTTGAATTGCGGTTGTAATGTTTATGTTAAAATCTAATATATCATTTTTTTATCAAAATCGATATTGATTTGGTCATTTTTCAAAAATCATCATTGCTATCACACAATATTTTTAAATATTTAAATTAAATTAATACTACAAAACTTTATTTTTACTAATGAAAAATCGCAAATTTTTTTATTAATATGATATAATATTCAGATATTTTTTTTTAGAAAAAAATAATATATAATTCTATTAACATTTGAATTGAATATGAAAATAAATTGTAGGATTTGTTACAAAACTCGAATTGCATATCAAACTTTCTAATATAGAGGATTTGCTACATTTTCTATTTTAAAAATCTCAAAATAGATTATCAATTGACTGGAACTCTAATTGTTGGTAATTACTCTTTGAATTGTTTGAATTTCTAAAATCCAATAAATCAATGTTTTAAAATTTAAAGTACCTAATATATAGGTTTTGGTTCAGTTTATAATTTAAAGATCTCTACATAAATGGGATTTGAATCTCATAACAAAGGAATTAATAATTGACTGAAACTCTAATTGTTGGTACTCAATTTTGAATTGAGTTCGAATTTCAATAATCCAATAAACCAGCAATAATTTTTAAAATTTATATTACCTAATATAAAAGATTTGGTTCAGTTTATAATTCAAAGATCTCTACATAAATGGCAACAACCCAATCACAATAGTCAAGTACACGATTGAAACTCTTTTTGTTGGAAAGAATTTGATCATGAATGGCGAATCCCACTTACTTTTCCAAAACTTGATTTGATTTAAAAACTTTTTCATTGAGAAAAATCGATCAGTCGTAAATTATAGTTATAATATTTTATAATGAAAATAATTTTTTGAGATGCTTTCTTTGTTTTCAGCCTCTTTCATAATTTACATGCTATTACAAATAACAACCTAAGCATCCACAACACAAGCAAACATACAATCAAATCTAGATAATAGGCAAATAATTTTTTTTAGATGCTTTTTTTTTGTGTAGGTACTGGAGTGGCGAGTCGCCTTCTTTTGAGATGCTTTCTTTCTTTTAAAAAAAATATAGAAAATTTATAATAAGATAATTTTATTTTTAGATGTCATTGGAGTCGTTATTGATGTTCAAAAGTATTCAAGATAAGCAAGTGAAACAAGGTGATATACAAATAGTGGCCTTCATTATGATGGACTTGAAGTCAGCATTAATTTTTCGAATAATCTACATATATAAATGTGCACTTTTTTGTCTGAATAGTTCAAATATTTTAAATTTATTGTTTATAATTGCAATACTGCACGGTTTGGGGAGAGTATGTAGATCAACTTTTGGCTTTCGAGAGACACTGTGAACAAACTGGTCTTCCTAGGTTCTAATAATGTAACTTGCACGCGCAGAATAATATTGTTGTTGGTTGCACTTGTGATTAATTACTTATTTCCTCATCTTATTTGTTGTCTTCATATTTTTATATTTTCCGTTTAATTTAAAATTATAGGTAAAATTTAAGATACAACCTCCTTGAATGTGACCAAGATGATTGCACATGACTTCGTGCAAGAGATCTTGGAGAAGGTCGTATTTAACAAAAAAAATAGATATATTGTTTTTTATATCTTTTTATTTAATAATTTAATTCAATTTTTTAGGTACACTGAAAGAAACTTGGTTGGGATAAAGTACATTTCCAAATCCAAAAGACTGAGATTGATGTTTTGGAATATGGTAACATTGTTGTTTCTTTGGTTGATTCTCTCTACGAAATTATGAAGATAACACCTATAATTCAAGAAGAAATAAATTTATTAGGATTTTTTATTTTATTATTTTATTAATACAAGATATTGACAGAAGATAACGCTGATTCCTAGAATGAATATCACTATATCAGATATTAGGTTCCATTTAAGTTCAAGCGTCTGACAGTTCCTACTTATGGTTTCGTATGCCATGACCATAAGCAAAAGTCAGGGACGGCACTTTGGTTTGTTCCTGAAGAATCCTGTTTTTAGTCACTGACAATTATATGTTGTTGTTTCACGTATAACTAATATAAGGGGTTGAAGATATTAGTTTTTTGAGAATAACGAGTTACCCAACAATCAAACTCATAATGTTGTGTATAAAGAAGTTTTTAATAATATATAATTTTTTCGTGGCGAATATCTTATGATTGAATAATTTTTCTACGTATTATCACTCTCTTATAAATGAATGCATGTCAAATTATAATATTCTCCAAATTTATATAGCCCGTGTATCGCACGGGATACCACTAGTACAATTAATCAACTTTAATTGTTATCAAACTTAAAAAGAAAAAAGAAAAAAAAAAGTTTGGGGTTACGTGTGTTGATATCTATGGTGGGGTATAGTCGCCATCCATTTAGAAAAACGCCACTTTCAGTTACATATATATTAAAAAACGCCACTTTCAATTGCATATTATATTAAAAAACGCCATGATTACAATTATCAGATTTCTTTATCGCCCAACTCTTCACATCTCCACCACCACCACTACTCGCCGACACCACTCTCTCTCCGCCGTCCGCCGCCGAGCTTTCTCCGCCTCGCTGCAGCCATTTTCCCCTTATCGAGGTCCGAAAATATTTGGAACTACTCGTCAATATTTATTTATTTATTTATTTTTTCACTCAGAGGTTCGTATCCTAGGTTAACCAAACAAGAGATTTATTTATTTATTTATTTGTTTTTTTCATTTTCCTGGTCGATTTGGTTGTTGCAGAGAGACTGGACGAGTTTAGGTTTGGGGTTTTGTTGAATGTCAGGTCGCCGATGAGTTCGTTACCTTCGCCGGCGCTGCCGGCTCAGCAGGTCGACGGCGGAGTGCTGGAGGCCGTAAACGACGACCACGGAGGAGTGATAGTTGAAATGACCAATGGGCTCCTGGACGCCGCCTCTTATGTTCCCTTACTCAGAACATCGCTTTCCCACTGGCGGCGGCAGGTGGAGAAAACAAAAAAGATGCTTAATTTCATTTTGGGCAAAGCCAATTAGTTCTTTCGTGCGTTAGTTTTTGAGTGAATTGTTATGTTAGTTCTTTCTGTGTAATCTACACGTAGTTATAACTGAAACACCTTCTTGGTAATATGCCTGACGGCTATTTTCTTGAATAGCAACAGCCAACAAGTTGGTAATAACGTGTGCACTCTTTTTTAATTATCTTTCGTCCAACTCGGGCAATAGGAGTCAAGATTACTGGCATAGTACAAGTCTGTCGTGTATATTATCACTTTTGTTGTTGTGGATATCTGAATATGAGGAGTGTTTGTCAGCTCTACATGAAGAGTTATTAAACTTTTAATTGAAAAAGGAAAAGCCAGAAGTTGAGAGTAACCTCTCTTATGGAGTTCGCTAGCTTCCCTTACATTTGTCGAGTGATTATATTTTCACACTGAGATATGTGTGGGTGTTAATGGCAGGGCAAGCGTGGTATCTGGATTAAATTACCTATCGAGCTTGCTAATCTGGTTGAACCCACTGTTAAGGTTAGTTAATGACTCATTTTAATGTTTGGTACAATTGTCTATTGGAGGGAGCAAAGAAACATGGCAAAGCTGTATCTTTGTGTGTGCGAAATATATTTTATGGAACACATTATGTTACAGGAAGGATTCTATTTTCACCATGCAGAGCATAATTACTTGATGCTGGTGAGCTGGCTTCCGAGTACTCCCAATACTCTGCCAGCTAATGCCTCACACCGTGTGGGCATCGGTGCTTTTGTATTGAATGAGAAGAATGAAGTAAGTTTTTCTTCTTTCCACGTTCAGCTTTTATTATTTGGGTGCCTTCTTATTTTTGGGTTAATACCAAAATTCAGGTTGATGCTTAATCTGATAAAGGAACAAAAATATTTCAAAGTTACAAATACCCCTTTGAAACTTTATTCATTTACAAAGTGCAGGAATGATTGGGTAGTTTTTGTTCTATTTGTTGCCTTGTAAACAATTTTTAGGTTGAGGTTGGACAGACTTCTATTTTGGATACATTTTCTTCATGATGACACCATTTTAGAAATAATAAGAACGAATAGAGGCAGTTTTGTTTTGAGATATAGAGAAAGACCTCTCCTGGAATCTAATTAATTATTTTTACCAGAGTTTTCATGCTGATTTACTACAGTGCTGACATAATGCAATCCTTCTTCATGCTGTTAAGTTATTATCCGGCTATTTATACAAAACCAATGTGCTTATTAGATCATCTGACAATATCTATACAGATTCTTGTAGTTCAAGAAAAGAGCGGACGTTTTCGTGGATCAGGTGTTTGGAAAATTCCAACAGGAGTTGTTGACGAGGTGGATATCAGCTAGTTGCTTTTTTTTTTGTGTGTGTGTGTGTGCTGTAAATGAAGAAAAAAATTATCAAATAAGAAACTGCTTCCAGGTTTTTTGCAGTAACATTAATGTTCACAGGGTGAAGATATTTGTGATGCTGCAGTCAGAGAAGTAAAAGAAGAAACTGGGGTAAGACAAATTTCAGCTTGCATCATATTTGTTAAGTGTAAAACATCAGTGAAGACTGATTAGTTGTGATTTTTTTTATTTCTTTCTTTCATTTTCTGTTTTTATTTCTTCTTCTTCTTTTTTTATTTAAAAATTATACGTGGTTCTGTCTCAGATTGATTCGATGTTTGTAGAAATACTGGCGTTCAGGTACTTCCCCATCCTTTACTTACATAGTCAATAATCAATATAGCTCTTTGCCTGTAAATTTTTAGGTGGTGGAGGGATGATAATTACGAAAGCTACCCATGAAATTTCGTTTTGTAAAATAGAAACAGAAGATAGGTATTTTCTAAATTTGAAAAATACATTTTCTTGAAAATGTGTGAATAAATCTAAGTCATTATTTCAACCAACGCTTTCAGTTAGTTTAATGTGGGCAGTTCAAGTGTAACATGCTGCTGTTTATCTTAAATATGCTTAATATTTTTAATGTTGAGACTTGAGAGTTCCTTTCTTTCTGTGAACGAGAAAATCAAAGAGTTTGGTACATTTTCTGTTTCCTTGAGATAAGTTTGTTTATCTTGCAACAAATGTTTGTGTGATTAATAACTAATGCCCCTTGAGATAGGTTTCCTTGAGTGGCTTATTTTTTAGTCTTTTCAATGGATTTTCTTGCTGTTTTCCTAAAACGAGTGCATTGAACCTCAGGCAGACCCACAAATCATATTTCGAGAAATCGGATTTGTTTTTTTTGTGCATGATGCAACCTCTCTCTCTGGAGATTCAGCCTCAGGAAGCAGAAATAGAGGCAGCCCAGGTCAGTTTTCAAGATTATCATTCTTTGACAAAATCGTATTTTATTTGTAGTGTTTACATGCAATGTAATTAGCTAACTAACTAGTCACAATGTTGTGACAGTAAATGTATTAGAATGATATCAGAGTTGGTCATTTCTTGAGAAGGCTCGCTGAATTAAATTAAGGGATGATTATGAAAACTACCCTCGAGATTTAACGTAGTCGTTGAAATCTAAATTAAGGTATCACTATCACAATAAGTTCTGATTTTATCAATAGATACCTCTCTCCTTCGAAGGTGCAAATGCAATACAGAAACGAAGTTTACAGATTTTTTTACCATTTTAGATTTTATTTTATTTATTTATTTTTCCGTGTAATGCCGATGAATTTCATGGACATGATTTTAACAAACTCTTACAATTAAGGTTTTAAAGCCACTGCACTTGCCACACAAAGCATAAAAATTGCAACAATACGCAACGAAAAAATAGCAAAATAGATACATCAGTTTAGCAGGAACATATGATACTTATATTATATGTCACGATGGTCTGTTTTCAGTATGCAAAGCACAAATCTAACTTTGCTTATTTTTCGAATCTTTTTTTCCAATGTCGTTTTTTGTTTTTCCTCAGTGGATGCCTTATGAAGAATATGTAGCACAACCATTTGTACAAAAGCACGACCTTCCCAAGAAAATAGCTGCTGTGTGTGAATCCAAGAAAAAAGGGATCTATTCTGGATTTTCACCATTGCCCACATCTACCGGATTTTCTCAGAAGAATGCTTACCTGTACGTTAACAGCCGTGATCTTGGTCGGAATTCACTCTGAGGTTAACTTCATTTTTATAGTTTTGAAAGCAAAACTTTAGTTTCGCTGGCATTCGTGTGTGTATTTCCGTTCTCTGCATTGAAAAATAGGTGCTTCGTGTTCAATATTTAAGATCTCGTTAGAAAAATATTGTAATAAAGTATCATTAAGCACAATATTGTTTCATAATTTTTGTCTTACGTTTGAAAAGTCTTACTAATATTGTTTAGCCTTTTCACCTCACTATTTTATTTGGGTAAAGCTGATCTCAGGCCTGTCTGTTAGGTATTCATACTTTTTCAACATATATACCCAAAACTTCATACTTTATAAAACTACATAACACAAGTATGATATGTCACCGCATAAATATGCACTTTTTATCAAACGAGTTGGCCCTTCTTATGGTTAGACGGCGTTGAACAAGAATTTGTGATTTTGTATAACTCGTATTTGTGATTTTGTTTGTCTTTATATAACTCGCATTTGATTTATTGGAGATGCTTTAATCTTTCCCAACACGTTTACTAATTTTCCAACCCTTCTCAAACGTAAGTTTATATGAAGGTTGAAACATTAGTTTGGGTAGAGGCTTGACTAGACTTCAATGTCAATTTTCTTGTTTACCAAAGAATATTTACATTGATTAATTTTGACTCTCACTATCTCACACACGCACAAAGGAGGTTAAAATCGAATGTTTGAACATTTTGATTAATAGTTCCCTTATGATAAATCGAGCAGCTCATGAGCCCTTGGCTCGTTAAAACTTGAGTTTGGTTCGACTTGTTGATAATCGAGGTGGGATCAATCTCTGCTCCACTCGCTCTACTTGGTGAAGATTGTTAGACAAGAGAAATGGGATTTTATAAATAATTTTCTGAGCTATTAGCTTAGCTTGACTTGGTAAGACTCGAGTTTTACTCATTAATTTTGATAAACTAGGTGAACACGGGCTTGTTTATCGACTCAATAAGAATCCGACTCGATAAAGGCTCGAACTTGAATCTACTCGTTTACAACTCCAACTGCTACTATTCAAATTCAACGGTTAAACAATCATAAATTTTCAAAAAATAATGTATATTCTCATGTTGAAAGTATCATATTTTGAAAAATAACTTAAATAAAAGTAATAACATTTTATATTGTAAATACAAGTTTTTATTCGAAATTATCAAAAAATGTCATGACCTTTGATTGGGTGCTTGGTGGGAATCTTACCTATGATTTCAATTTTCAACTCATCGCTCAACGACCATTCCATTGAAATTTAAAGTATCCAAAATAATTATCTCGGATCAAGAAATTAAATTAGGCCACCAATCTATTTCTATTTCATAATCATTAAAATTTTAATCAGTCTCTAGATTCTTCTACACGGCAAGGCACTTCACGAATANAATAAAAAAAAAATAAGAAATTGAAGTGGGGCTACATTGACTATTTTAGCCTTGGGTTTATCATCATAAATGTGTGTGATCAATTGACCAATTATATAATAGCCTTCATATATTTATAGAAAAGTTATAATAGTCTAATTTACACTGCTAAATTCTCAACTTATATTCCATACGGGCTTGCAACTTCAAGGAAATGGATTTGCAGAAAGTGATATGTGGCTGCATTGACTTCTTCAAACACGTTGATGCAGTCTTGACTCGATCGCCCTATTTTTAATTGACATTTTGTTAAGAGATTTGTGGAAAATTGATAAGAATTATGGGTATGTTAAAAGATGGTAACACGAGATGATAAAAGGTAGAAGATGTATTATCGAACTGAATATCAACTCTCAATTACCCCGAAACAAAGTTTTAGAAGCCAAAATAAATGTTTTAAATCCTAACCGCAATGAGTGAATCAAAATTGTCGATCTGTTCTCAAGAACATACTATTATAGCAATTCCGAGTTCAAACTGTTTCGAGTTCTACCAGCAAAGAGCAACCCAAAACTCGGCCTACATATGTTCTACATCGTACGAACAAAAGTTATATGGCATTGGATCCAGAAATTCTATCAATTCCACAATGGATATTAGGCGTTGGATCGTGAAATTATGGCACCATATGGTGCCCATATAAATCTCACGATCCAACGCCTAATATCCATTCTATCAATTCCACAATGGATATTAGGCGTTGGATCGTGAAATTATGGCATCATATGGTGCCCATATGGACACCATAGAATTTCTGCATTGGATCATTTGAGTAATAGTTAATCTAAAGTCCATTAAAAAATGATTAAATGTTGGGGAATTTAGATTTCAGCTTTAATGAATTGCTTTTATTTACATATATACCAAATATAACACTTAATTGCACTTATACCTAACTTAATCAAATTATTTATATACATACAATATAATTAGTAACAGATCAAGTCATAATGACTTACCATAATAAATCCGCGTAACTGACGGGATGCATGCCTGGAGATAGAAATATTTTTATGCCGGCATCTTTTATCCCAATTTTTGTTTATGTCGGATGTATGCATAACATATACATCACATATACATTTTTATATACATAGGAAAATATATAAACAATATATATACGAAAAATATACAGTATGTATACCTGCTATTACACAAACAAAAAAAAAATGTATAAATATACTACACATATAAAGCATATTTATACATAAACAAAAGATGTAGTTTTAGTTCTGGGCCTTGTAACTTTCAACTTCACTACGTCTAGCCCCAGGTCCTGTGGTCCCCAATCCGTAAATTCTTACATTTCAAATTTCTTCTTCAACTTTTGTTACAGTTTTAAAGATTGATTTTTTTTCAATTGTTGTTGTTGAACTTGAGTAGAGTGTTCTTGTGTTGAGGATTGAAATTTGAAAGTTTGGTTTGATAAAACCATGTGATCGAAGTTTTAGCACAGTAATTCCTATTTCTTCTGTTCGATTTATTTCTGTATACAAATTGATTGCTCAAAAAACAAAAGAGAAAAAAATCAATTGAAGGAGAAGAGAAAAAAATTAAACGAAGAACCGTAGAAGATGAAGAAGACGAGAGAGGAAGAGAGAGTGATGGATATTAAATCCCATTAAGTTAGGTAACAAATCCCAATAAATCCATCTTAGTAATTTTACAAATAAAATAATAGTCTAGTATACATGCAATAAAAGTTCTGTTGTATCGTCCAAGGAGTAATTTTCTCTTGGATCATTTGAGTAAAAGTTAATCTGAAGTCCATTAAAAAATGAGTAAATGTTGTTCATATTAAAAGATTTTGACACAAAAAAATCTTCCACAACCCAATCATGTTTTATTGTTCAATTGCTTATATTTTGAATCAATAACTATCATTATTATTAAGTTTCTATCTCATATTCATTCACATTCTCATAATATGTTTGTTTGACATATCTTCAAAGCTTCCAAATCTTCACAAACATCGCACTCGATCAAGGGGTATTTTCGTAAATTTAACATTGTCCAAAAAAAAGTCTCGCGCACCTTTAAATACATACCCCTCCAATAAGATAGTTAGCTCCAATTTCAGTGTCCCTTCTTCCTCGTCTTGAGTGGATTCAAAGTCTCGACTTCAAAAGAAAGAAAAAAAGCACCATTTATTAAGATTGACACAAAAAATGATGACCACACAATTCATGAGAAACATGAGAAATTCAATAAAGATGATTATTCTCTTAGCTTCAATCATCTTCTTCTTGCAGAGTCCCGTTTTTGCCGGAAAAGAGGATGAGCTGTTGGCTGGTCTGTGGAGCCGGGAACAGATGGTGAAGTTGGCCGGTTATGGAGAAGATAAGCTTTCGACAGTCACGATTGGCGGCAAACTTCTTTGCACATCCGGTCGAGATAACAATCATCCATATCCTATCTCAGGTTTCATGATACGTTCTTGTTTTTTTTTTTCAAGATTTTTTGAGTTTTATTATTCTTTTCATCTCAATAAATAGAGATCATAAAATGTATGGTTAAGGGTTTACTTAAATACTTAGTTACTATAATAAGTAAACAAACAAGCATTTCTGTTTACTAGCACAAATAAAAATATCCCATTTCATAGCACAGATAAGCATTTTTTGTTAAAAATGTATGATGTGTCGACTCGCCTAATAATTAGGCATGCTCTCAGAAGAATTTGTGTATTTCTTTTGATCTTATATAAAAAAAAAAATTGAAAAAAAAAAACCAATGATAAATGTCATGTAATAAAAGTCAGCATGAGCTTTAGCTTAAGGAAACAAATTAATCAGTTCACCTGTCAACAGAGTTTGCTGGTGATCTGACTATTTCAGTATTTCCTTTCATCACAATTTTCCTTTTTTTTTTCCCTTTTCTTATTATAACTATACAATTTTGAATTTTACATAAATTTGTTATAATATATTTTAGCTGGTGTTCTCATTTTTATATAATGGATCTATTTTAAGTAGAGCTATTATTCGAACCTGAACTATTCGCGGACAAAGCTCCATTAGGCTCGACCTTGGCCCGTTTGGTTACTTAAACATGCCGAGCCCAAACAACTCATGAAGCTCGTTTGTTAAACGATTCAAGCCAAGCTTGTTCGTGAAGAACTAAACTTTTTCGCAAATAGCTCGTTAAAATATTTAGGTCTATTAATTAAACAAGTCGAGCAGAACTCGTTCACTTATTAAACGAGTACGACCTACAACACGAGCTACTCCGCACGACTCGAATAAAACCCTATAATTAAGTTTTTTTTTTTTNAAATAAAAAAAAATACAAAAGAAAATAAAAAATTATGAGTGATTATATGCAGGTGCAAAAGTGTGTGTTTTATGCAGCACAAGTGAGAGAACAAACAAATCATGGGCAAAAGGCAGCACAGATGTTCAAGGGGAATTCCTTATAGACCTTCCCTCCAATCTTCATGCAACTCCCGATTTAGAAAAAAAATGTTCGGTTAGTGTTTTTCGAATCCCGAGGAGCTCGCCATGCTGGCGTGCCCTTACGAGAAAACTCGAAACGATCAAACTCGTGTCAGCAGCCGAAGGTGTTCGTGTTTACACCACTGGCGACATTTGTTTGGCGCCAAAATCTTTAGACGAGCACATGAAGGAGAGAAAGAAGACAAAACATGCAGCATTTGCTTTTTTGTGATAAGACAAATGGCACGTTTTCATAGGTAACTCGGATATCGGGCGGTTGGCGCTTCTAGTCACGCTGAGAGAGAGAGAGATGTAGTTTATGATTTTTCAGCTGTATATGTTTTTTGTTGATGAAATAAAGGTTAGAAAGAATCCCCAATTATCTTTTGAAATTACAAGAAAAAATTCACTTGAGGTCTGCATTGTAATATAAACTAACCATAAAAACCAATCATTTTTAACTCAAAAAAAATATAAACTAAACATGTGCCCCCAATCACTTAACCAACCCTGAATATAGACCATTTGGATTTCGTCACACGACCATAAATCTAGCTACATATGATTTAAAGCTAAAACGGAAGTAATGAAGCTAAGATCAAACTTTTCGTCATAAAAGAAGCCGTTTTCATACTAACCAAAGAAAGATTTTTCGGCTGGAAAATGGATGAATTCAGAGGAACTAACTACTAGCAAAATGTGAACCAAGCAGAATTAAGAGGAAGAATCGAAAACTTTTCCATTCGAACTCGAAATAACATACTTAGCAACATCTGCACAGCATCTGAGCTTGTCTGCTTCGGCATCAGGTATCTCGACAGAAAATTCTTCCTCAAAAGCCATCACGAGTTCTACTCTATCCAGGCTGTCGAGGCTCAAGTCCTTCTGGAAATCGGCCTTTTCAGTGACCTGTCACATATAATTCGCTAGGTAAGGGTTCTATGGCCAGCTCGTAAAAAAGAAAAAAAATCAATTTTCTTTCGACTACAGAAAATTTCTGCCGAACCCATGATTGCATATGGAAATTCGCTAATAAAATACATTTCAACTAGTCAAAATTCATGCATTCTAGCATTTTCTCTTAAACTAGTAATCGATTTCAACAATCATTTGTTGCATTTTCATTTTATTCAATCACACAATTGGAAACTCGTAGGTACGTTCAAAATGAAAGTACACCAAATCACAGACAAGCTTACAAAAGCAAAACCATAAATAAGATATGAAATTGGTGATTATAATTTCTGAATATAAACGGAAAATATAAGTCACAGCCACAGAATGTAACCTTAGCAGCATTAATCTTGTCAAATTTCTTCACCAACTCAATGACTCGACCCATCACTCGGTCCTGGTTGATATCAGCAGCCGTGCTAAATGCACGCAAATGCCCTTTCACAGGGACTCCAATCTTAATGTGACTCAAAATAGCCTTCCGCAAGTTTTGCATTATTCTCACTGCAAACAAGATCGAGCATATTACTCGACTAGAAATGCAACATTTTCTTTAAAACAGTTAAAAAGCGGGCCCATAAAAGAACCGAGGAGGAATATAATGAATTCGAAAAATAGAGAAAAATGTTTCCTTTTCTCTCTCGTTTTTCTTTCGCTTAATGATGCTCTCATAGGACTGTCGATTAAAATTGTTACGCAAAACTTCTACTGCAGATTTGAAAATATATTCAGAAGCATTAAATCAAATATAGTGGAGCTTTAGCATCTTCCTGAGCTTAAAAGAATCGGCTTTCTTAGCTTGTTTTCTCCATATAGTTGCAATTGGGACAAGAATACCGCAAGACCCATCACACACACGCAGCACACACAGCGAATATATCATATAATATGAAGATCAAATAAGCTGCATTTCTTGAAAAACGGTAATAAACAAGCTAAAAAATGCCAGAACCAAAATGCATAAAAAATCAACATATGGCATCTATTAGCTATTCAAATTCAACTTAACGTAAGATATCAGCGTTATATCAACGAACCCATACAAAAAAATCTATAAAAAAAAATCAACATATGGCATCTATTAGCTATTCAAATTCAACTTAACGTAAGTTATCAGCGTTATATCAACGAACCCATACAAAAAAATCTACAAAAAGTCGGTCTAAACACGCTGCAAAAGCATAATACGAGGAAAATAAATAAGATGTCAGAAAACCCATCATGGTATCCGGAAAAAGTACTGATTTTTCCATACACTACGATCAGAAGAAGGAGAATATCACGGTAAAATCAACAGGAAACTGAAACATAGATAGAGCTCACGTTACCTGCCGCTGCCGGCTGCCGGCTGCCACCTGTTTGATGATATGTCTCAAAGGGCAAATTTGTTTTGTAGATTAGACAAAAGCCGAAAAGCAATTGAATTTGATATGTGAAAATGGGCCTGCCTAATTAACATATGGGCTTTCATATAGATCACTTTGTCACAATTGGCATCCTTTATGAGTCTGATTTTAGAATATGAAATACCTTAATATATGATAAGTAAAAATATAAAAATACAAAACGAGAAGGAAAAAATATTATATAGGACATAGAAACATGCATAATCCTGAAATAATCGAATAATAAATTAATTAATCTAGTTAAGAACAATGTGAGTGAATAACGCTTTTAATATAATTTCTCAAGTTTTATATTGACGAGTTTAATCTCCACATTATTTTTCTTTGGATTTCATTATGTTTTGAAAAAATAAACGATCATCAAACATATCGAGCTAAGTGTGAGTCTTAATGAATCGAATCAAGTTTAGTAATATCTCGTTTCATTCAACATCTCCATTTAGCATGAAAATTTGTTAGTATCACCATTGATCTGTGTATATGGACAAATCAATAGTGAAATACATGTGCCCCACTACATAATTGGTCATCTTTTCATCATTGATTTGTGTGTGTGCACAAATTAACGGTTAGAAGCGTATGGCCCACATGCAAAATGGAATAAATCCTTTTTTTCCTATTTTAATTTATTTTAAATGCCCATATTTTTTTTTCTCTTTTATTCTCCTTTTTGGTATAAACTTTCGAATATCCATAGGTATGGTGAGAAAAAGGGCAAAAAGTGATTTGATTCGAGAACATTTTAGGGGGACCCAAATGTGAAAAATTGAAACCACACACTCACACACACTAATAGGTGATATCCTCACAATTTTCTACCCACAAATTTTGGTGGATTCTGAAATTTAGAGGTCAAATCAAATCCCCAAAGCCCAAGCTGCTAACTTTCCTCTCAAGCCATGCTAGCCCTTCATTACCCTTTCTCACCCACCAAAAACTATAATAAAAATCACACCTTTTTTTATTCCCACAACAATAAAAACCATACCTTTATTTATTCTCCAATTTTCTACAAAAACCCATTTCCTCGCTCGACCCAAACAATTGTTCCTGCTTCTGTTCGAACTCCTCCAACTCCTAGAACTCCTCAGTGTCTCATTAACATGTCTTCCTCAGCAGCCAGGTATTTTTTTTTTTTTTGCCCCACTTATTGTATTCCTTGTTAAAGATTTGAGTTTTTTTGTAGCTATCTTTTAATAATCTGATGAAGTTTGTATATTAATGGGAAAAAGATTGAATCTTTTGAATTGGGATAAGTCAGTTTTAATTGAGAGTTGCCCTCGATCATCTTTTTTGTTTGTTTTCCTTGATCACCTATTATTTATTCTTGATGTTTGATATAAGTGCATTGGATTCCCTTAGATGAAGTGAAATAGGTATATGTGTGAGAATGGAAGAATATTCTGATGATGATGATTGGGAAAATATTAACAAACTTGAAATAATTTGCTTGTTTTAGGTGAAGTACAGAACAAAACTATGTTTCAGTAACATTTATTTATGTATTTTAATCTCAAGTTTTCCCAAGTTTGTTCCTTGGGACAGTGATAACTGATACGCACGAATAAACACTTCAGAAAAATGTATATTGATGCTATGAAATGTCATATTTATATTTATGTTGTTTTCTAACCGTGAGGCGGGTCTGACCAAAAAAGGCATACGTATGCTATGAGATGCATATCTGTTGAAAAAATATGGTTACTAATTGATGAATATATTGAGCTCGAAAAAAAAATTCAAAACATGGCAGCAAAAATGCATCATAATAGTAATTGATGGAGTGCCTTTATACTCTATAGTACTTGAACATTCCTCTTCTTGTTCCTTTTACTTCCCTGGTCAGGTTAAAGTGGAAACAATTGTGGATGCATAAAGTTCGATTTTAGTTTATATTTTTCAAACATACCAAAGCATTTGAATTTGATCCTTGCCGATCAAACGCAGTTTGTAGGCTTATTTGATACTCTGATAGTAAAGGTGTCCTATTGCGAACTGGTTTCACTCAAAACTATACTGTTGGTTTTTGGTTTTTACTATTTTATCATCTCAGAAGTCTTTTTTCAAT